TCTTTGTTGTCCAGTTTTTCATGGCACTGGTCAAAATTGAATAATAACATCATTAGCCCCAGCCAGTTGCAACGATTTCCCTATCCAGCTGTGAGGGATCGAATCGTAAGCTTTTTTATAGTCAACCCACGCTATACTTAGATTTTTCTTCCGTCGCTTACAATCTTCAGCAATTATGTTAGATAGTAATACCTGGTCTCTGCACCCCTGAGCATTTCTCCTGCATCCTTTCTGTTCATATGGCAATATTTCCTGTATTTCTAAATGTTTATATAATCTATCAGCTAGCACCTGAAAAGAATATATGGTGCTTAAACAGGCATGAAGTCGGTCGGTAGTTTTTGATTTTGGTGTCACCGCTTTTGAATATTAATGTTGTTCGCCCGACAGTTAACCACTGGGGAATGTTTTCTGGATTATTTAGTATATAGTTGTAATTTCTGGCTAAACATTCGTGAGCTGCTGGTAAGCGTTTTAACCAGAAGTTCGGAATACCATCCGGACCCGATGCCTTCCAGTTATTAGCCTTCTTCAAACGAGCTACAACCTCTTCTTTTGTTATGGGATTCCATTCCATCGGTGTTGTGAGTTTCTCATTTCTTTTTATCCATCTTGCTTTTCCTTCAGTTGTAGGTTGCATCCACTCAAGATTCTCTCCAAAAATCACCCACATGCATTTTTTCAGAAATTCCCCTGCACATATTTATCATTATTGCAGTTTTTAAGTGTCAGTTCTCTAAACAGCTTTCCTTTATCTTGATTGAACATATTATTTTCGTTTAAATTGCTTGTTTCTTTTTTCGTACCTTTTTATCCTGTATGCTAATGCCAGAGAGTTTTCTATTTCCTTCTTTTGTGACAGCTAGTGTATTATTCGAAAATATAGATTGAGAATCCAGTAGGTGACGCTGTTTTACACTAATATTATGCCATTGTATACTTGCCAGTTGAGATAAAAAAGTTTTCTGCAGTCTCTATTTTCTTTTTATTCAATGGTGGTTGTGCCTTTACTTTATGATGTTAATGTGTAGTGACGTTCTGCTTGCTTATTGTCAGTGGATACAACATAAGCACAGGCATAAATAAGTGCGTTTATTTGGAATAAGTCTAGATTATTATTCCACTATATTCTCAAGGCTTTGTTTGGTGATTTATAGCATAGCTGAATATATTGTTGATTTTTTTTTTTAGTAGTCTTTACGGCCTCGCGACTTCTTGATTGTAACAAATAAAATTCATCTCTAATTTTAGTTTCAAGCTCTTTCGTTTCTCTATCTGCATTTGTATTCTGTAGTTGCACTTCATCCCCTATTATTTCATTCGACCCTTCTTGAGCTATTTCCACTACTGGTGCAGTTATGTTAGGATTTTCGTTTCCTATTGGTTGGTCTCTAGATATGCATTCCCGATTATCTTGCATTAGTTTCTCAATTTGTTCTTTTAAATAAAATCTACTAAAAAAACTACTAAAAAAAAAAAAAAAAAAAAAAAAGTTTTTTTTTGATTTAACAACTTTTTAGCATCCATGCTATAATGTGTGTTAAGCCAAGTTGGCTAATATTCATATACCTCTCTGTAATTGTCAACAGATGTTAGTTTTTTCCACATAAAGCACCATATAACCTCTTTCATCTCGTCTTTTGTCCGTAGCACATGTGAATTGTTCAGCACAACAG